GAATGCCACAAATTTAGACCAGGAATGCTCCAATTTCGGACAGGATATGCACAATTTTAGATTGGAAATGTCCAATTTTGGACCGAAATGCTCCAAATTTAGACCAGAAATACCCAAAATTTAGACCAGACCCCCCCAGCTCAGCCTGGGACCCCCAGGCCGCCAAGCTCACCGCCAGGCACCAGTGCACGCCCAAGTGGATGGGCACCAGCAGCAGGTCCACAGAGAAGATGTCAACCTTCTTGGTCCACCTCTTGACCGCCTGGTAACCCGCCGTCTTCAGCTTGGTGAAGAAGAAGGTGTTGAAGGCATGAACTGCTGGCAAACCCTTCTCCTTGCTCCTCTCCATCAGCAGGTTCATGTAGAAGTTGATGATCTGGAGGAGGAAAAGCATTTGGGAGGAGTTGGGAGGTGGAAAAAACCAAAAAAATGGAGGGAAGGAAATGTTTTTGTCTTGTTCCAAAGTGTCTACGATAGCTCCAAAACATCAACCTGCCCAAAATGGACATCTCAAGGGGCCAAGGGAAGTTCCTCAGAGGTTTGGCCACTTCAACCTGCCCAAAAAGGAGACCTGAAGGTCCCAGAGTGAGTTCCTCACCTCATCATTGAGCCAGTTGAGGTTGTTGAGGGTCTGGATGTCCTTCCTGGTGATGGTTAACCTGAAAGCTTCACTGAGCACCTCGTCCTGGTTCCCACCTCGGAATACATTCTTGATTTCCTTCTCCATCTCCTACAAGGAAGACACAGAGACCATTGGGAAGGTGAATTCCAACCTAGGTTTGAAGTCTTTGCTGCTTGAGGGATAAGGAAAGAGGAAAAGGGAACTGGGATTGTGGACACCAAGTCCAAGGAGACCAACCTCAGTGATCTCAGGGAACTCCTCCTCACTCTCAGCTGACTTAGCATCTTCCTTCTCCTCTGGGACCACTGTGACAGGAATCTCCTTCTCCAGGGGCACTCGGAGGTTCAGATCCACCAGATCCTGCACTGAGTGTTCCTGTTCCTGCAGCCTCTGAACAAGAGACCTTGGAATTAGGTGGAGACCAAGGAATTCACCTCTTGGGGGCCTGAGGGGACATGAACAGCTGGAGCTGGGTCAGAGGTGGGTTGGAGATCAGGAGAAGGCTCTTCCCCCAGAGGTGTTTGGGCACTGGGACAGGGTTGGGTTGGAGATCAGGAGAAGGCTCTTCCCCCAGAGGCACTGGCACAACTCCCCAGGACCAGGTGATGGAAAAGGACAGGAGAGTTTGGCCAACACTGTCAGGCCCAGAGTGAGATTTTTGGGGTATCTATGCAGGGACAGGAGTTGTCCTCAATGATCCTTATGAGTCCTTCCAACCTGAGATATTCTGAAGGGATTCAACTCCTCCAGGAGATGGAAAAGGACAGGAGAGTTTGGCCAACACTGTCAGGCCCAGAGTGAGATTTTTGGGGTATCTATGCAGGGACAGGAGTTGTCCTCAATGATCCTTATGAGTCCTTCCAACCTGAGATATTCTGAAGGGATTCAACTCCTCCAGGTGATGGAAAAGGACAGGAGAGTTTGGCCAACACTGTCAGGCCCAGAGTGAGATTTTTGGGGTATCTATGCAGGGACAGGAGTTGTCCTCAATGATCCTTATGAGTCCTTCCAACCTGAGATATTCTGAAGGGATTCAATTCCTCCAGGAGATGGAAAAGGACACAGAGAAGGAACACTGAGCACCACAGAACTCAAGGCTGGAAAAGCCCTCTGAGATCATCAAGCCATCCTGGGATCTCCCATGACTCCCTGATGGGATTCAAGTTGCAGGAGAAGCAAAGGGACATGGAGAAGGACCAATGAGCACCAGAGAACTCTGAAGGTTGGCAAAGCTCTCTGAGACCAGCAGGTCACCCATTCCTGCAGCACTGCATCCACATGGCTGTCTGAATTCTTTCATGGACACTAATTCCAGTGTTCCAACACTTGACCAACCTTCCAGGGAAGAAACTTCTCCTGATACCCAATCCAAACTTCTGGATTTGGTATCAGGAGAAGTTTCCCCTGGTATCAGGAGATTCCCCTCCTGTTTAGCCCAGCCAAGAGTTCTGAGGAGACAACCAAGCCCTGAGACCTCCAAAGGAGCTGATTTTTGTCTTCTTCCCGCTCCCATTTTCCTTCTTCTTGGGTGATTTACCCCTTGGACCTGTGTCCTCACCTGGCTCTGCAGCTGCAAGGCCAAGGCCTTTTGCTCCTCGATCTGTCTCCACCTCTCCCGAGCACGCGAGTCATAGACACTCGTCCTGCAAAGCAAAGTTGAGAAACGTGGTTGGTTTCTCCTCATGATCAT